GTGTGTTTTTCAACATCGCCACACCGCTGATCCTGTACACAGTCTCTCATCTGCATTATGAGTAATCTATGGTAGTTAATTGAGCCCAGAGGCAGTTGGTTTCATTGAAGGCTCCTCTGCTTTTCTGGCAAAAACAGGAGAAAAAGAGTTCTCTAGAGAAGGCAGCGCTCTGTCGAGAGGCAAACAGAGCAGAACTCCTGCCGTGTTCATTAGCTGTCATTGATCAGCGATTCAGTGGCTGTGCAACTCCTACCACAGCTCACATATTACCCGTTTCATGTCTTAAAAAATGAATATGAAGGTAAGAAAGAGGAGCCAGCGCGGCATTCTCCTCGTTATATTTTATTTTTCAATGTACTATTTTGATGTGAATGGATGTTTGCCAAGGTTCTCATCAACAGTATGCAGAGACTGCTGTGCAGCACACTTGTCCGTTCTACAGTTTTCTGATATCAATATGAGCTACTATATTCAGTTATTGGCTTCCCTCAGAGGCCATCATCGCTGCAGCCTCTTCCATCACACGAGATGTACTGTAGAATGAGGCAGCAAGGTATACAAACGCTGATAAATGTCTCAGACAAAAGCATAAATAATGCAGAGATCACAGATACTGGAATAGTGAGTCAAACTCCACTTCAAGACACCTCCCTGGAGAGAGGCAAACATAAGTGTCCTGTCTGACATCATCAGTGTCTGCAGGGCCTCACCTGACACATACAGCAGAGAGGAACTGGAGGAGCCTACCTCTCCTAGTCTAAAACACTCACATCCCATCTTTCATACCTAGCTGCAGCAAGCTTTTAATTCAGACTAGTGTTCTTCTTTCAAATTTCACTCCATTTAACCCCTTTTTGACGTGTCCCCATCCTTTGAGAATAGACTGCCTGTATGCATCCTGCACTTAAAACTATAACAAAGTAAACCCTGAGCTATTACTGCAAACGACAGAACAACGGGACATATTCTCCAAAGTTGAAGGGAATATATAGGGGCAAATTAAATCAATATTTCACAACACTGCTTAAAGAGCTGGAAAGGGCTATTATCTATCACTAACTGCACCTATAGGGCCTCTCTTTAAAAAGGAAAAAAAGGAATCTCTCATTGGAATTCATCAAAAGTCACCAGGCAGATAACGGGGATCATACATGCTGCTCCTCATTTCTTTATTCCCTTCATATCTCTCCCTTTGCATATTTACTCATTTGCAGCCATCTATGTCTAGGCCAAGGTTCTGCCCAAAATTGTTCTCTATTGACCCTTTACACATAAAAGAAACTAACAACAACATTGGAAATGATGAACAAAAGGTTTAGCAGCCCAATGCAGAAGTTGTAAGGTTTCTCTTGACGATGTTACTTCAAAGACATTACTCTGTTTAGTCAGTTGAGTCAGCTGTGTGATGTGACTCACTAACTCCAGTGCCCAAAGAACAACAGCACTATTCAACACTGTGGTTACGCAACAATCATTGGGTGTCCTTCCACTGGGGAATGCAAACTAAAACTAAAAGGAGAACTTTGGAAAATAACCAGCTGACTCACTCAGTGGTGAGTATGAAGAGGAAGATACATTTGTGCAACCAACCATCTGCGAACAGGGGAAAGTTTTATTCACTCAACACGACGACTTCTACTAATCTCTAAGTTGCCTGGGCCACAAAGTTGCCATAATGATCAGTATGTAGTATTTATGATTGCACACAGCAAGTATGAGCCACTAACGATGGCTACAATCTACAAAATATTGAGTGTGCTGCAGTTAGCCATTTACTATGTTATCTGTGCTGGGCTGCCAGTAATGAAACAATAAAAGTTTGAGTAGACGAACATAAGTCACGAATGAACAAATGTATCGATGTGGCAAATGTTTATGAAAACAAAGTGCCGCCTCACTCTCAAACGACTTAATTAAACGCAGAGCCTGGCTCTATTAAATAAGATATGCTGCACTCTGCATAAATGCATTAATCGATAGAAAAACCGCCACACAAATAGCAGAATAATTGATCCAGGATGATTCAGCAGCAGAGAGGTTGAGGGGCTTGCAGGATATTACCTAGCAATAACAGTCTCCGTGAAGGTCAGTGGATACAACAGTAAAGACAAATGTCCTCTCTTCGACTCCTGCTGGCCAGACTTTATTTTGGCTAGTTACAGGAAATTACTTTCTGCACCTTCCATCATCTTCTACACATTCTGCATGCTGTGGCTTTACGGCAATGACCAGTCAGGGTATAATAAAAACAAGCTGTAACTGTCCAACCTTGTAATAAAAAGTATTCACACAAGTGACACCAAACTGCTGGTTATTAAAAGTAAGTCTTAGAGGAACAGTGAACAGATACAGTGTAGGTCCATACTGTATGTTAATGTGAGATAGTAGTGAAGTCACTGTGACTCTTAAACAGTGGTGGGGACTTCTAGTACAGGTTTCCCTTATTGGCAGAATACATTTGAAATTGTTCCAAATAGCAGGAATTATTTACCAATAACTAAACTTATCAAATTGTGTCTCATTTTCTGACAAAAGACAGAGCAGCTACACACTTATCACTCCAGCGCCGTTGTGACAAAAACTTCAATATTATCTTTTTAAATCAAAATTGATGGAGCACCTCTAAAATATCTCTAGAAATATCAGCAACAATGTCACAAGAACAAAAAGGACAGAAATATTTTGCTTTTCGGAAAAAAAAGCTTTGAACACAAAAATATCCCCTTCCCCCCTGACTCAAGCCCTTTGTTGGTTACAACAATGTAGCTTCCCCAAAAATAGCTCCAAGTTTTTGGACTTTCCTGGCATATAGAGGTCCATGTGGTGGGTCCAGGGAGGGATATAGTGTCTGACACAGGCTGGCCATGGTTGAGTGAACATGAGGCCAGTGGGAGTGTCGCATTCCTTTCCCCAAGGGCCACAGGGTCCAACATTGCCAGTACCCTGGCTCCCATTACTATCTGCCTACCGCTGTATTTCTGCTGCTGCAATTAGGTCCAGGTCAGCCTTCTGCTACAGCAAAGTCATTAATAAATAGGGAATACAACTAATGCAGTCAACCTTTAGTCTGACAATATACGTGGGGAAAAATATACACCATCAACGTTGCTTTCTGAGAATCCATTAGCTACCCAACATTCAAACATGGTCAAGAGGAAGCTGTTTACACAACCGGAGACTGAAGAAGTATTGAACGAAAATCAATTCAAGAATGATGCCCAACACCAGGTGACGATACGCAAATAGCAGAACATAAGTGAGGGCCCGAAGACTCCTACAAAGATAGAAACAGAGTATAAATGGATCAAGTCCAAGTATAAATATCCTGGTCGCCAAGCAACATCTGGATGTATTTTGGTCTGGAAAAAATGGGGGGGGGGGGGGGGGTGAATAGCAGCTAAAACAGGGAGGACTGACCAGTCTACACTGGCCAGGGGCCACTCATGAGTGAGTCAGCCCACACTGCAGCAAAATGGTCCACCTCCACCTTTTCATGCGCCCAGTAGGAGGTAACACACAGAGAGGGAGATGCAGTGAAGTCAGGAAAAGGCATGGACGCATCTCTCATCAAGTACTCCAGAGATGCCGTACAGCATGTGGTATTATATCATTTGATGACTCCATGTAATGTGGCTGTACCGAGGAGGTTTACTTTCAGTCTTGTCACACCATTTCTTAGATTACATAACGATTCTCCACAGGTCCTACAGGGAAAATCCAGTTACTAATCCGTTTGTCTGTGTTCCCAGTTATCAACACTCGTCCTTCTTTCAGGTTGTTTATCTGGGTCATCTACTAATACAGAACAAATCACAGCTCAAATCAAGCAGGCCAGTTACAGTACCAGTACCCAGTCGGAGCGCACTCCTGTCTGCTTCTTCAGCATGGACAGTCCAATAACAGCAAAAATGCAAAAAAGCGATCATTAAAAAAAAATAGGAACTCTATCCATGTCAACAAGCAATATCAACAGGACATTTGAGATCAACTTGCTCACCTTCCTTCAAGCACCGTCTTCTACTGTCTGAGAAGAGGAGCTGTCCATGGTACTGAATGCCTGGTCACAGTACATATGAAGAGCTCTGAGGAATATATATTCGTCTGTAAACTATGCTTTATGTTGCTACTATGGGGGACATTGTTATACTTCGCTATATTCCTTTAGATATCTGTTTGTATTCAAGTGTCCCTCAACCAACAGTGCTTTAACCAACACATGTATTTATAAGCTACAGGCATGGCTTAGGTGTGTGTGAGACGACATAGAGAGGCGACTGCTCATTCAAACAACAATGCTGCAATAGCATCACTTATATCACAACTGGAGAGTATTTCTTTATTGAAAGAAGTGCAAAGAATGACATTGAATACTTGTCTCTTATATTATCGTGCAAGTTCCACAGTAAATCTTTCTCTCCTCCAATGCTGGGTACATTTGACTGAGATTTGCTTGTAAATGTAATGTGCCAGAGTGGCCAAACATCCATAAAAAACATGCTATTAAAATTATTATGTTAGGCTTTTACTGTGTACACCAAAATGAACTGCCACAGCTCTTCACAAGCTAAAGTTGGCAGATTGCAAACATCATGAGGATGACACAGAATATGCACAGTTTCAGACAGAACAAAATAGAAAGACACGACTCACACCTTGAATGTTTACCATTAATCAGACTCTTACAGTGGCTTTGAGTAGGGCAGGGCATTTGTGTTTGCATGCCTGATAGAAATGAAATTGATTTGTCATATCAGCCAGTGACCCTGTGATTCCTGAAATCAAAATGTCAAGACTTCACATATCCCCCACTGTCTGCTGAATTAATGCAGCCGAGCCTCATTACAGCAGCACTTACCCATAACCTACAGACGCACTGTGTCCTCCAGAGCATTACTGCTGAGAAAACCAGGCAATTGGGATAAGCAGAAAAAAAGTGTGACTACTGAGCGACACAGAGGTGTACTCAAAGACACATTTAGACATATTTGAACCGTACTCACCTCTATTCTCTCTGCCTTAGCTGTTCAGTAGTGTCATGGCTGAAACAGAGGAAAACAAACAAGAATGAATACTTGAGCTCAAAATATTGTGTCATTGAAGGATCTGTGAGAAATACAATGACGGTAAAGTGGTCGTGCCAGCATCAACGTAACTTTGTCTATTGACTCATGGACCTAAGCATCATTACAGGCTTGGTAGTTGTTATTGTGTCCCCTCCTCCTTCAGCAACCCTCATCCTCCTCCTCCTCCTCTGCTCCATCTCTGTGCACCAACCTTGCCATGGCTAACAGGAAGCAGAGGGCACAGCGCTTTATTTAATTAGTCACAGCAGCTGAGTGCTCATGTGGAACCAAACAGGGGAGGCAGATTGGGGTAGTGAGATGGATAGGCACTCTCCCACCGGGCCTTGGCTGTGCTGTCAGAGGAGCGTAGATTACATGACAGAAGGGGGAATGGGGGGTGCGGGGGGAGGTGGATGGCAGGAGGATGTAAATGGCATCTGTACAGGGGGATCATCCCAGGAAAAGGATTGCCTTCACTCCTAAAGTACCCCAGTGTTCTCACAAAAGCAGTTACTTTTGTCTGATATGCAAACCAGCCAGCAGTGGGTTTGGCCTGTTGTTGTGATGAACAGCACTGAGTGGTTTGACTGCTTTTATTAACTGTGACAACATTCATTATTCCAAATGATTTAGGAGCTGCTATTTTTCTTCTATCTCGTCTGACGATTATCGGTTGGCCTTTTCCTCACGGACCGGCAGATAACCTCTGAGAGGTTGCAAAAGTAGCTCAGTGTGCAGCACATCTTCGATGAGCTCTTTCCCAAACTCAAGGCAAAGGACGGAGAAAAAGGAGAGAAGAAAGTTTCTCAGCAACTGACAATCTCCTTTTGGAATCTAAGCCTTTGTCATGTTCAAGGTGGGAAATAAGAGAAAGAAGCAACCACAGGAAATACAACTTTGAACATAACTTGGTCTTCAACACCATCTCTCAGGGTTCACCCTTGGAGAAAACACAAACATGTAGCTTATGCTATGGTGCTGAACCAGCAAGGAACATGAGTGCAGTGCTTGAGTAGTGTGTGTGTGCAACTACTAAGCAATGGTGTGCTGGGAGCCTTTTTAATTAGTGCTCTTGAAGTTATCCAGTGACCCACATCCAATAATGAAGGCAACATGAATGTTCTATTTACATATCTTTAGTCGGTAATGTGTGACCGCTGGGAGAGCCCAGTGGCTGAATATGTGCTGCCAGTGAAAAGGGAGGGCATGTCAAGCAGAGCTGCCTGGGGGCTGCTTTCCAAGGCCCTCTCAATTCAAACTGAAGTGATCTGGAATGGTGTGTTAGTGACCTGCAGGTCTGTCAAACTGGGTTATGTTGTAAGAATACTTTATGCAACTTTTTAATAAGCCTTGGGCTTGTAAAGCCATGTGTCTAGAACGTTTTTTAAGTACGCATTTATAACTCAACCACCTGCAATCTATACTTTGTGGCTTGGATTGGGCTGTAAATGTACGTCAATACACTAAATGAGAAAACCAAACTAACTTAAAAGGTGCCCTGTGGAGTTTTTTTGCAAACACACAAAATATTAAATTCAGTGTTTCTCACCAAAACCCATTGCGTGTATCCTTGAGGTTCAGCAAACATGTTGAGTGCATTTCCTTCCACATTTACAAAGCCAATGTTAACAAAATATCTTAAATAGTGCATGCACTGTTTACATCCATCAGTGTGTTCATAATTGCATATGCTTTCTTTCTACTTTTAGTACATACTGCATTAACTAATCTGTACTGCATCCATTGCATTCAATTGGGACAAACTACATCATAACATTGCACCTCAAACTTTGACTCTCTAGCTCATATATCCACTACACAGAGGATTGTGGGTCAGAACAGCCACGAAAGCATGCTGGCTTGCATGCTGCAAAATGTGACCAGATGCAGCACAGGACATCCTGGTATTTTCGGCATACCATGTTTTGCGAGAAATTATTACGGCACATTACCACCAACTGCCAGTGGACTAGTATAAAACCTGCAGGATGCGAATTGAGTCGCCCGCAAATGAAAAAACAGGACCCGCGTGTGAAATCATTGTGCTGCTATTGGTCAAAAACAACCATGTTTTTGCAAAAACAAATCCATTACATTCATTTATTTAGTTGTTACTTATTATCCAATTCCCTACCATGCTGTTCTTATGGATAAATGGACATACTATAATTAAACTGAAACCACTAAAAGTAATTTACCCATTCATACACTGATGGAAGGTGCCACCTGCCCATCAGAACTGTCTAACCGTTGAAACCCATTCATTCGCCGCCTACGGGAGAAATTTGGGGTTAAGTGTCTTGCCCAAGGACACATCGAAAAAGTATTGAACCACCGACCCTCTGATTGAAGGACGACGCGACCACTGAGCCACAGTCGCCCAAACATAACCGCCATACTCTGTTCTGAAATATTTAATAAGGCACTTCATTCACACGAGATGCGACACTTTGATTCCCATGAGAGAGGGAATATTATGTTCCTCACACATTAAGGTGCTGCATTTCCATTACAATGTGAATAACTCAATAGACAGGACAGAGAGTGGGATATAATAAGCACAGAGGTGACTTTGACTCTGGTACAGCGGTCATTGTTTCTGGCTGTCTGCTCAAAAGTCACCTTTCCACAGCCTTAGCAAGCTAGCTTCTTAAAATCATTTAGGGCAATGAGCTACTGGGCTTGAAGCTTTAATATGATTTAGCAACCGTCATCCATCTTTCAGTGGTGGCCTTTGCATGAAGGAACCGGAATATGGTAAAGAGTGTGGCTTCCTCGTGCTATCGAGCTTTATACGGCCTGATATTCCCTAACCTTCCACCTTCATGGGACTTTGCTCCAGTTAAGAAGGGTTAAGAAAACAGTTTTTTCGCGTGAAGCTCCCTTTTCAGAGGGCGTGTCAAATTCTCCTTTCAGACAATTCTTTGTCTATGAAAGAACTGGGTCACTGACTAACCCTCTCTTCCAGGGCCTCGTTGCTAAGGCCTGACTCCTTAGAGTCTAGGATTTAGGGAGACAGGGGCTAGTGCACACAAACTAAAGCCAGCTTCTAACAGGAGGAGCTGCACTAGTGACTGCAGCCCCCTCATGCTCAGATTATTGAACACATTTCAGACAGAAGGTGGGTAGGTGAGGGATGAAGCCAGCAAGAACTGCACACTGCACATCCCTGCATGTGGATGTAGATTATATTGGCTTTTTGCAACTAGAAGTGACACGAGAGGGTTTGTAAGTACAACCCAATGCTAGATAAGACATTTTTAAGGCAACCGAGTACAATTAACTTTCATGAACTGCAAACACACAGAGAAAGGGATAAAGTGATGAACAACATGTCAATCAAAAGTTAGCCACGCCCTAAAGCATATCCGCTTCAATTATACTCTAAATTGGACAATTACTTACAAAATGAAGATGTATTACAGGCTTGAAACTAGCGATTGACACCATAAACTCATGTTTACAATCATACTTCTTTTCGCAACCAGATGAGTTGGCCACAGCTCACTATTTGATAGAATGCAAGTTAAAGACAATTCTGTATAGTCTTCATTTTTCAGACCTGGAAGTAGCTGCCTGGTATAACGGTGCTTCTTTCTGTGTGTGGTGTGCGGTGTGTGTCCCCCTTTGCATGTGTAGACCTGTCGGTGTGTGTGAAGGGGTTGCTCTTGGCTTTAGCGCCTGCAAATAAATCCAGAGTTTGAGCTCCACTGTTTGTTAAACATTATTTGCCTCAGGCAATAAAAGGTTCCTACCCAATTGCAAATGAATGAGCCCAGGTCCCTAGTTATCACTAGTTATTGTTCAAATCAGGTTGGCTTTGAAAGGGGAAGCATGCTCTCCTTTGGACAGCTCATTAAGATAACACACAAACGTGGCTCCCCCATCATCCTGGGTTTATTAAAGTGGGACTCATTTCAGCTCCTTTGTCTCGTGCAGGAACCTCTGCCTTTGTCAGTGAATTGAAGCCAGATGGCAAAACAAAGCTTCCTGTCTGTAGTGCTTACAGCGTGATCTCAGAAGGCAGAATCATTAGCTTGATTTCACCAGCTCACCGCCCACAACGTCCACCTGGCTCAACCAGGTGCATGGACGAAGACGAGAGGCGGAGGCAGCGAAGGTGGCTCCCTTCTCGCTGGAGCACAGGCATACTACAGTCTCCCAGCATTGTTCTCCTTTGCCCCGTTAACGAAAGCTGAAGTATTTATGCCTTGTTTCCATTGCATGGTTTGGCTGGACTCAACTGGTACCACGTCCTTTTTGTCTATTTCGTTTTCCACTGCGGGTAGCAGCTCCTCAATGTAGGCGGGATTCAGTGGTGACGTCATCGTCAACGCAACATTCACTGTTTCCCTTCATCGCCGACTAAACAGAGGACCGTCCGAACTTCCCCAATGCTTTTTGCGTTTTGCATTCTCGAAAAACTTGTTTGAGTGAACATAAGAAAATTACAGTCACTATTGACGGTTGCTTGGCTATTTAAAAATGCCGGGTTTGTACATGATGTCCCATGCTGCGCGCTAGAGATGAGTCTCTCTAACCAATCAGCGGCTTGCAGTGTTTTCACTCCACCTTCTCGTATCGGCTCAGCTAAAACACAACCGAAAACGGAGAACCCCGACCTAGGTGACAACACAAAAAAACACCAGGTACTATCTACTAACTTTTGCTAATGGACAACCGAAAATAAAAAGCGGTTCCATGTGAGTCCAGTTGAATAGAGCTGTGCCGTAGTATGCAGTGGAAATGCAGCACAAGTCTCACCAGTGTGTGTGTGGGATGGCTGACCCGACTCGTGGCTGCAAAGATCTCTCTGAAACATTCATGAGAGAGGCATTAGAGAGTGAAAGTCATTGTCCCCCTTCACTCAGAGACTCTCCTTCACCTCTCAGCTTATTAAAATCGCATGGTATTAACTTTACCGTTCACAGAAAGGCTAAATAATTCAATTAGACTATAGAAGGAGTCAAATGAATAACTCTAATGACATTAACGCTTGAGGGAGAACTGCTCAGGACTGTGAGGGGCAGTCACTGAGGCTGGGCAGGCAGAAGAAGCTTGCCCTGCTTGCTAATAGCTAAATTAATTCTGGGCTCATAGGGTCACAGTAAGCAAAGTATCACGTCACTCTCAACACAGAAAAGGAAGCACACCAGCATCATGGAAAGCAAAAGATGAATAATGAAAGAAAAACTATAACTTCTTTTAAAGTTAAAGGAATCTCCTGAAATCTCTCTGACCTGTCATTGTGAGGATGTCAGCATGCGGCATGACATGAACGCACCACTCTGGTTTAGTAAAGCCTAACAGTATGGCTGTATACTCTCAGTCTTTTTCATCCTTTTTCCTAAATGCTCGACTTTGAACAGTCTATTCTATACAGCTCCTTCTGGGCATTGCCTTTGCTGAGTGATTCCAACTAGTTTGTTTAGAAAGAATAGGCACTTGCCAAACTCCGTGTAGCATTAAGTGGTGCAAGAACTGTCAGAGTGGTTGCCTGTCCATTCGGCTGGATGATTCATCATAACAATCCAAAAGAAACTTGTGACAATAATATGCATGACACATTTCAGTCAGGACAATTGCAAAATCAATCGGGCTTGGTAAACAGGATCATTTGAGTGCAGGACACGGCAGCACTATTGCTGGCATTCTGTGGAACGTGGAACTTGTTACCATTAAATTTATAGACAAGATAGATTTCACTGTTATAACTGTAGCTTTGGGGGAACCTATAATGTAAAACAGCTTGTTGGCATCACTAAATTAGTGCACCCGTCTCCCTGTCTCTGCCGTAAACACACACACACACACACACACACACACACACACACACACACACAATGGAAGAGTTATGCCACTGGCTTGCTGTGTTGAATGGATCCAGAGCCTGGAGCTGGTTTTCACGAGCACACATTCTTCATCAGAGTTCCTTCACACTTAAACAAACTTAACATTCAGATACTTGTTCTGTTGGGTCCCTACCATCCTGCCACCTGGACTTCTTTTTAAAGAAGACAGGCTAAACTGTGTATGTGTTTAAGTGTGTGTGTGTGTGTGTGTGTGTGTGTGTGGGGGTGGTATTTGATATCTATATAACTTATATACTTTGCAGAGTACATCGAAATACATTTTTATAAAAAAAGAAATAGAATTCTGGATCAAGCGTGAGATTTTGCATGTGTACAGTTAATTGGCCTGCTTACAGGCTCAGCCTGGTGTTCCTGCCCACTTGATCCACGCTCCAGTGGCTAAAACGCAACGTTGCCTGTTCCTGACATTGTTTACAGCCTTGCATCATTACACTGCTCAGAGTGCTGAATGCAAAAGATATTCTAGTATTTCAATATCGGTTTTAGCTAGGAGGTAGAACTGTAACGGGTGGAGTTTCAACTGCTTCCTGACCAGAATTTGCCACAAGCACCCACACAGCAGCGCTAGCGAAAACATACAGCAGGCCCCTGATACACGCGGAGGCTGAGCTTGACCAGGTGTGGATTGACTGACCTGTCTTTGACTCCTCTTCTTCCAGTTCCTTGGCCTCTTCAGCTGTGGGGAGACAGATGAGCAATTATCAGTGGGAGCCACAGTACAAAGGCAGGCACACAATGCAGGCACTTCATCACGAGCCTATGGTGAGCTGATCCTTCACAGCTAAAAGGACACGCTGTGGTGAGAGACCTATATGGCGACGAAGCTCCACAAAATGCCACATATCACACACACACTCACGCACACACACACACACACACACACACACACACACACACACCTTAACCTCCTATCCAGCGTTTTCGCAAAGACAGTAATCATATTAGGCTTTAGCTGCTGGCTCTCTGAAAACCCACTGTCAACAGAGTTAGGGAGGCGACCCAGTGATGGCTGTCACACTTACACACGTGGGGTGCATGTGCGCACATACATATGGGCTAAAAATAGGTCTGACATAGGGTATCCAAGCGACTGATATTAATTCTTTGACACGATTCTCACAGCAATTGGGCTCGAGATCCAATATTTAGTGTCTGATACATGAGATTAAACTGATAATTGAACCAAATTAAATGTCAAGGCTACACAATCCATGTTTATATTCCTATACGTTTGCCTGATCTTCTTTGACAGCAGAGACTATAATCCTTATAATTACAGCAGCAGAACATGCTGAGTGTCCACATTCAAACAGGCTGTACACAGTATGCATAAGTCTACCCAAACCACATTCTACATCTTTTCTTTCTGTGTTAGCCATGTTGTATTTTGAAAATCTGATTTTATATAATTACATATTACTGTAGTCCACAGGATATATCCACATATTATTACAAGACAATATCAGAGAAGAGCTTTTTTCCTCTGCAGACAATTTCATATTTTGTTGCCAACTTTGAACTGAAAGTCTGGAATACCGTTTAGAGTTAACTTGTGGATAATGTGCACATTTTGAGAGTAAAATCCACAAAAGCACCTTGGAGAAAAAGCAATACAAACCACTACTTCACATCAGAACTGGGGTTTAACATTCATATAGATGTGTGAGCCGGTTTACCTTCACCACTTCATTCAACTACTCCAAATCGACCAACAGTCCCACCGCTGTGGCAGCAGTGGAAATACCTTGGGGGACGTGGGCTTCGATAGGAGAGAGGCTCATTTAAAGTCAGGCTGAAGATGGGGGCATCCACAGGGCAGGGAGTGAGAACTGCTTCCCTTGTACATTGAGAGTGTTACAATTTTATGCCCCTGTTGGCTGCATCTCAGATGTGTGGGAATAGGGAGAAGGGTGGTTATGGCTTCAGCACAAAAGCTGGACAAACCACATAAAAGACGAGAGAGTCGGGGGAAAGAAAGCTACTCACTGAAGCCAGAAGACTGTTACTCATCATCCTTTCTTCTGCCTCCATGTCTCCTCGACACAGAAGTGGCGCAGCCCTACTCTGAATCTCCAAAAAAACACTGCTGTGACATCATGAGTGTTTCAAATGTATAAGCAAAAGCAAACAGCCTGTTGGTAAACCTCTCCTACTATAAATACACCGATAAGTCGGTCTAATTAATTTATTCTTGCACCCTAGAAACAGCAAAACCTTCTTTTTAAAACCTTTGTGCGTATTAAGACATACGGCTTAATGACAGGAGCATTAGTGCTGTGGCGGCTTTAATTCATTTTCTCTCCCTTTTGAATATCAACTCTTGTTGATTGAATTTGGCTCATTTAAAAAAAGAGGAGGCACGAGGAACAAACCGCTTTCTTTTGCCAATAATTTGATCAGGGATTTTTATAAATGTCTGCTTCTATGAGCATTTGCTCAATAGACTGGGAGTGAAATAAATCGACGTGTCTGCTATTTAATGTGAGTCGCATGCACACGAAGGCGATGAATCAACAGCATTTGGTCCACGGTACACCTGAGGGTTAACCCCTGTGAAATATGTGCACCACTGTGGTCAACATCCCTCATGACTTCCATCTGTCACACAGGGGAGATCTGTCCCTTGTCACCTACACATGATATCCATGCACAAGTCTGATTAAATCATATGCTTATCTAAATGTATAATATGCCTTAGAGAAATGGAGCAGCAGCCCCGGCTAGGACGCTTAAAGATTAGATACATTAGTAATTATGGAAGGAAGGACAGAAGTGAAGGATGAAAGAAATAAAATCTCAGGTAGCACAGAACCAGGCTGGTGTTGAGATACAACACTGCCCCAGGAATTGAGAGTCCACAAGCTGCTCTGCTCTCTTACGATACACATTCGGGTGCTCCACATACATTATGACAGGTAAGAAAAATGACTTACTCACTTCTCCACTCTCACTGACCCTTCCACCCTCGCTACCCAGACACGGTGAAGAGAGAGTCAACTTCAATCTGGCCGTACCCCGGAACGCCATTAAAAGATAAGACAACCACAATTAGGTTGCACCTCCCTGCTTCATGTTCTCCCCACAGCTCCGGATATGTGCATACCAATCCTATTTTAAGCCCCTACACATCTGTATTCATGCAGTACCATTCTATCAGGAGTACAAGAGTCTGCATGATATGTGAATAAGTCAGCGTTCACACTCTTTAGCTTTGTGCTTGAAAAACACCAAAGACTGCTGAAGCATTGCTGGCAGGGGACAGAATGAGACTTAACATTTCAATAAGGCGGACAGTGGACGACCACATAATCAATCCTGGTCTTTGGTGGTGGTGCCTCTTTGCCTGTGGGAGGAACTGCATTATATTTCTCTCTTTCCATTCCATTTGATTTCATATGTTCCATGGAGCTATTTACTCTTTCCCCTTTCCTCTGTGTCACTTCCATATTTATTTTTAAACCTCTGGGCCGTGGTGCAGACACTGGCTGACCTTTATTTAAATGTCTTCTCCACTCTGAGCGGATCTCATTACAGCAGAGCTGGTGGCTCTGCACTATCTCATTTCAAAAACTTTTTCTCTTTGCACTTGCGGCGATCCTCGGCTATTTCGCAATGCTAATTACTGGACCCGAGTAATGATGTTCCTCTTTGCCGAAGATATGTGTTCCACCATTCGAGATCCTGCCCATCGCATTAGGCAGAACTCCCTCTGGAATCTCAATGTTCCTTGAGCAGCTACCATCTCATCACTGCTTTCTGCTCGATCTCTCCCGCTCTCGTTGTGCCTCCCACATGATCGAGGCAACATGTCGCAATTATGCATATCATCTACTGGACCACTATGTGAAGAGTTTAAGGAGTCATTCTGCATTTTAATGAAGGCCCTGAGAAGGGTTGAAAGGGTCTGAGAACATGATAGGTCAGCATCCATTATTCATCAAGCCCTTAAAATGTGTATACAGTAGGCTAACACATAATCATTTCATTACTTTATTTTTTGTGCATATAGCTCCAAAGTTGCCACAGCTGTGACATTCATATTTCATATTGCCCCTAATGAAGGCAAGTCAACCCAAAAACAGGCTTTTATCTAACCGTGAGGATTGAACATGGATTTTTCAAGAGAGTCATCACTAATGAATTGTACTCGTAGTGAGACTATCCACTGGTGCTGAATGTGCAGAGCCACCTCTCCCTCTCCCTCCCCTCTTCCATTCGCTTTACCTTCTCTCCTGGCCTCCTCGCAGCTCTCCTTGATCTTCCTGCGGCAGACAGCAGCCAGGGCAACTAGCAGCACCAGCAGACACACGGCCAGGCCAACAGTTACCCACAGAGCCACTGGGGGGAACGCGATGTTCTGACCTGAAGCAAAGGGCAGAGGGAGGGGGGGGGGGGGCAGAGAAGGGAGAGCCTCATTATTCACTCTTGCAGACCTAAAATAGGAGCACAACTGTCACGGCTGTCTCCATCACCATTATTTCACCATTTGACAATTTTGCTGTTTGCATTCGTTGTCATAAAAATCCTGAATTATCCAGACGGCAGAACATGAAGCCCAAGATGATGACACATCTCTGTCATCATCGTCCGCGTCGTCAAATCATCTCCATATAACGTTTGGCTCTCAAAGACAGTCAGAGGAAACACAAATGAGTGACAACCTTTGCTTAATGTGAACGAAGTAAGAGCTTCTTTAGTAGCGTCCAATTAAGACACTTGAGTCATTCAATTGAGTCCAGATGGCAGATGGCTAAGCAGCCGCACAAGACTGTGTTGTCGTTTCACTCAAACAGCATTGGCACCGGCATTAAGAGCACGTTGGCGCTAACTATCCCACCCCCTGCCTTCTGTTACGCATCGCTCAAGTGACTGAAGTTCTGATGCGTTTGCTTTAATATTCTCTAACTTCTTAATGTCTATAATATCAGTGACAGTATACGACAGGAAGGAAATGTCAATATTCAGTAATATATTTGGAATAGCAACAAAGTAAATAAAGAAGCAAATGGTAGATATTTTAATATATTATATACAGTATATATATATATATATATATATTTTTTTTTACTGCACAATATTGTATATCTTTCAGCACAAGACTAAAATTACTTTGGAGTCAATTATACATGAAAATGAGTGACAGAATGTTGGCAAACTGCGAACTGATGAGGAGGAAAACTGGTCAGCGGGACAAAGAAAGATATCAGAGACACAGCCAGATTTCCCTCGGGTATTCAGACTGAACAGAGGGAGAAGAAAGGAAAACAGCAGAGCCACTAAATAGCTGTGAGCCTGGCTGTAGCACAAACAGGCCTCCCCCAGAGAGTGCCCGCTCTGGGCAGATAATATATATTTTTTTTAAAAAGGCTGAGAAATGACTGGCACAGGAAAGAGGAAATGATGAAGCATCTGTAAGGACTTGGCATCAGCTATACAGACAGACTACAATACAGGCCAGCTGAGATTTACAGAGGCGTCCTTTTGGAGGTGATCAATTCTCAAATGGAAATCCAGTCCATCTGATGCTGAGAAGCAAATGTACCCGATTGTTCCACGAAACAGAATTAATGAAAGGCCATAGAAGGGAGGAAGAGAAGGAACATGTACTTACCAATGATAGAAAATGTCAGTTCAGCATTTATGCTGCTGTTGTTTTGGATGACAATGCCAATCTGTCGGTTCTGGTCTGTCCACCACTTAGGTCCAGACTGATATATCTCAAATACCATTAGATGGATTGCCATGAAACTTTGTACAGACATTTACATGGTCCACGAAATTTGAAGTCTAATGATTTTGATGATCCACTGACTTTTCTTCCAGCTCCAACATGAGGTTCATTTTTGTCGTTTTGAGTGAAATGTCTCAACAACTTTAAAGGGTGCTCCGATTGCTCGACCGCCGATTGTTATTGGACGATTTTCCCTTTTGATCTGTAGTGAATTTATGAACTCTAAGACCTTTGTAAAGGCTGAGCTCACAGGGTTTAATGACCCCACCTTTTCGGTTTTACGAGCATCCACTTTCCTGAGGGACACAGAGATGTACCCAAAAACTTGATGCAAAATAACATGTACCTTAATGGATATGCTAGTCCTAGTCTTAGTAAGTCCTTCCGTTTTATATATTTGAATCTACTCAGAGTAACAGACTGTTGACTGTTCTGTTTGCATTTATTCTAATCTTGTTCTGTAGTCAAACAAAACCCATCTTACATTACTGACTCACTATAGTGTGTCTTTATACAGTAATTATGCAAGCTTAAAGTTGTGTTATGAGAACAATGTATATCTGTGTTTTGTAATTGTTTAATTAAATCCTGTGTTTAATTGATCAGGTTTAATTCAGTGATTTATATCAAACTGTTTAGTAACGTTCTGCAGCTGAGATAGTTCAGCGTTTAAATATGAAAGAATTAAATAGACTATGTATTCTACTATGTAGTATTCATTCTGTAAAATAAGGTTCAATGAAATATTCAAGACAGTGGTTAGGAAGTGGTTTGCTGTTCCCGCCATACACTTCTTTCTCAGAAAAAGTCAGAAGAAACCTCGTTCTTCTCGACTCCTCACTTCGATGCTGAAGGGTGATCTCTGAAACCTAAATGATTAATAAGACATTTTAAAGTTTTCCCTATTATTCCAAAATTGGATGAAAAAGCTCCACTAAAATGGTTAACATAGTTAATATTATACCTGCCTAACATTAGCACGTTAGCCTGATGCCATTAGTATTTAGCCCAAAGCACCGCTGTGTTTAAGTACAGCCCCACAGAGGTGCCAGCATGGCTGATTCGCAGTCTTGTTCATACTACTTGGTTAAAAACGGCAGCAACAGATTCAAAAGAATGCCCCCATTATAATACAGAAGCAATTGATGCGGAGACAGATACTAATATATATTACATGTTATACATTTCACATAATGATTGTAATCTTGAATGATTTTACTAACCATAAACAGTATATCTATTTTGAGAGACACTCTCAATACAAAAGGCACTACAAAGACTCTCTGGTACTGCTGCAAAGCAGAATAAACAACCAAATGTCACAGAGAAAGGATAAAATCTGGAAAGTCAATCTTGTCATTTTGATGAAGCTGCGTATGCCTCCCCAGGCTAGTCATGACTGATGATGCTGTGGCTCGCTGTCCACCCAGCGCTTCACTCTGTTATATTTAAAGAATGACCATCTGAGAGCCACTTTGTACTAACAGCAAAACCACAAAACATGTATGAAAGAGGAATAATCACACACAAAGCTGCTCACCTCAGAAAAATCACAAATGTGTCAAGCTCTTTGTGACGAGTAAAGAAGACGCTGTGCTCTTTGTTTCCATCCTCTTTCTCACTCTCTTTTTATTCTCACACCTTCCCGCCACACTCTCCCTCCCTCAAGGCAGACTGATAAAGACAAATGCCATAGTCGGCTATCATTGCTACGCCGGGGCCCAAAGGGCTGCAGGATCATATTTTTCTTTTTCTCTTGTTTGATGATGTGATTTTGTTTTCTTCAGAAATAGATTTGTCTCTAATGGCTCTGTTTACCTATCCTTTCTCTCCCATTTTCCCTATTCCCTCTGTGCAAGGGTAAGGATGGAGTGCTTTGGGCTGCACTGTCACATTACCAAGAGCCTGCAGATTTCAGAGCTGCACCAAACGGGCCAAACTTCACTACGCACAGGTTTTCTTCGACACGATGAATGTGCACACACATCAGAATACGCATCACAGAAGTGGAAAGTGTGTCTATAACGAGCCAACATGATATGATAGAGAATGACACACGCTCACCAGGGTTCCTGTCTGTATTAACTTCCACTTTTGCTGATGTCAACACTCAATGTCAGTTGACTAGTAAACATAAAATGGATAAGGGCTCAAGTATGTATGAACCATGTCAGTGTCGATAAAAAGACACAACATTTTTCAGTTTTTGTCGTATAATTTAGTACCACATTCTGCACATTCAAACCGTGTGCCTCATTTATGAATTTCGTTGATATGATATTCTATATGTTTGATGTGTGTGTCAGTAAAACTGCACTTGGTAACACGTCAGCACTGTCTGCAGCCGCATGCAGTGGTTAGAGTTTGCTGCCACTACTTTCCATGAACCCTTCCCCAGAGACATATTGTCACATCACAATTCAACAGTGATTATTTTCAGAGGTATATTAATCAATTTTGGTCATACAAAATGCCACAAATAACATTGTGAAGGTCACATCGGCCCCATACATTACTGATCCAGGAGGTGGACACAATTACAGGATCACCTTCACAATATATTGCAAATGCAATATAGTAGTCTACTTAAAATCTAATTTTCACAAGTTCAGATTTTATTGAAACTGGGTCTGCGAGGCATCGAGTCAACACGATGGCAGTTCCAGAGGCTATAAAATGGTTCTGTTGTATTATGTTCGATTATATTGTACATATAATGTGATTTGTTTTTGTGGCCATACCTCGCAGTTATCTTGTTGTTGGGGTCTATCAGACGTATATATAAAAATGATATATTATGAAAAGGTACAACTGGTAGATACAAATGCACCTTCAATTAATGTTTGCAACATTTTTTACAGGTTATATATCGACCACACCTGGGGCGCATCCTCTACTGTTACTCCTTATAGGTGGTGCTTCGCCGTAGGTGTTTTGTGTATTATAGGAGGCCACGGTAGACTGCTAAGGTAAAAATAGATATTTAATGGGGGCAGGCAAGAGCATGATAAAACACCAGCTCCATATGGAGCCTCGAACACAGGGCACATCACCAGTGAGAAATGAGGCTCCCTTAGTCTCTGGAAGACACTATAGGGGGACTCGCAAGGGACCAGCTTAGGTATTGTTTGGGCTTCAGTGAATGTGAAAGCCAAGATTTGCAGGCATTTTTACAAGCCTGAGTGTTTTCTCTCCAGCACCTTTGGTGGAATAAAGTGCTCCTAAGACTCCCTTGCCTGTCATCTTGGTTCTGCAACGTGAAGACGGTGGACATCAAAGCTGCTTTCCCTCCAACTGTCAGGCCGGTTTTACCTGCCGAGAAGAAACCTAGCCTCGTAAGCTGTGACCAAAGGAGAATAATGTCCCTTGACAGAAGGATGGCTTCGGGCTAAAAAGAGCCTCAAGGCTCATTGTAGACAAGCTGGAAGGACGAGGAAGAGGAGAGGAAGAGTCAATTAGGTTTTTCTTTCATTGTCAGCCTGACCTTATTCTGCCTGGTTGTGAAAATCGAGGAAAAGAGAGAGGAGTGGGGGGGGGGGGGGGCCAGTAGAGGAGTGTTGATCAGAGAAGAACGAGGTGGACTAGAGGCTAGCCCAGGGGTTGAGCAGCAGCAGGGCCCAGCCCTGCTGGA